GCCAGGAATTTCAAGCTGAGGGAGAGGCGTGCAGTTGGCAACCAATCAATGAGTCTCATCATTGATGTTGCTCTCTCTCTCTCTCTCTCTCTCTCTCTCTCTCTCTCTTTCCTCCTTCCTCTCTTTGAAACTAACAAAAAAATATTAAAAATATATATAGATGAAAAGGTATAACATTCTCCCACACTGTTGAATTAAATGCAGACATTTATTTGAATATTTATCACATTGTATTTTAATCACCAGTTTATCAGTCCCCATTAGATTGGGATTCCTTGAGAGCAGGGACTGCCATTTTCACTTTGTCTTGAAGTAAGTACCAAATTATTTGCTAAATGAGAATGAACGGTATTTCTATTCAAGTGGTATGTATTTATCCATAATTGTGAGCATTAATATAATCTGACTTAGTATCTTCACATTTATTTTATTTTTTTAAAATATATTTTATTGATTTTTTTACAGAGAGGAAGAGATAGGTGACGGATAAAGAGAAAAAACAGCTTTTCATATTCAAAGTGCTAGCTCATAGCACACAGCACAGGAGGACAGGAATTCTTTTTTTTTTTTTCTTTTTTTTTAAATATATTTTATTGATTTTTTTACAGAGAGGAAAGGAGAGAGATAGAGAGCGAGAAACATCGATGAGAGAGAATCATCAATCAGCTGTCTCCTGCACACCCCCGACTGGGGATGTGCCTGCAACCAAGGTACATGCCTTTGACCGGAATCGAACCCAGGACCCTTCGGTCCACAGGCCAACGCTCTATCCACTGAGCCAAACCGGTTTCGGCTTTTTTATTTATTTATTTTTTTTATTGATTTTTTACAGAGAGGAAGAGAGAGGGATAGAGAGTTAGAAACTTTGATGCATTGATCAGCTGCCTCTTGCACACCCCTTACAGGGGATGTGCCCGCAACCAAGGTACATGCCCTTGACCGGAATCGAATCTGGGACCTTTCAGTCTGCAGGCTAACGCTCAGTCCACTGTGCCACACCGGTTTCGGCAGTATCTTCACATTTAAATAAGAAATGGATACCAAAGCTTTGATTTAGTTTGTGCTAAATCATTTAAAAAAAGTTTTAGCATTGGTTATTTTATTATAAAAATCTGATACTGATATACATAAACTAATAACTTAAAATTCAGTGTACATTTACTTCATTTTTTAACTTGACCTTCTAGTAAGTCTTTTTTTTTTCCTAGTAAATCTTTAGTTTTATTTTTTGGCTACTACACAAGGAGATGCTCCCTTGTATGAGTGATTTTAAAAGCATAATTTGTCGATGAGCATCTCTTCTTTTTCCTTTATTGGTAATCCTTATATCTAGCTACATAAGGTGACCAGACGTCCCCCTTTTGGCGGGACAGTCCCGATTTTTAACAATTTGTCCCTCGTCCCTCGGCGTTTTAAAAAGTCCCAATTTTTGGAAAGACTGCACGACAAGCTAGGGAAAGGCAGGAGAACAGGAAGGGAATATACGTTTTTTGGCAGCCATGTGGCTATTTAGCTAGGATAAGAGTTTTATATTATTTTTGTTAATTTTATAATGTTAAACTTTAATAACAAATAATTGTTAAGAGCTGATTATTGAGAACTGCTTATCAAAGTTCCCATTGTTGATCAGTTGTTAGAATTTGACCACTATTGCTTGGACTTAATGAACAATGGCATTTTTTGGGATTGGCAACGATGAAAACATTACGATACACATCGTACTGCGTGCTAGTAAGCTAGTTAAATAAGTGATGTCATTACAAATCAGCTATTTAGATAATTTAGGTATGTAATTTATGTATTTATTTACTTCATAAATACATAAATTTTCTTGAATTTAGCAGGCAGTATTCGTATTATTTATATTTTTTAAAATTTATTATTTATTTTTTTAATAAATTTTTATTGTTCATATTATTACAAATGTTCCTTTCCCCCCACCCCCCATTGCTCTCCTCCACCAGGTTCCCACCTCACCCTCTGCCCTTTCCCCACCTCCCATTGTCCTCATCCATAGGTGCACAGTTTATGTTCAGTCTCTTCTCACATCCCCCTCTCCCCTTTCCCCCAAGAATCATCAGTTCACTCCCCTTCCATACCTCTGATTCTATTATATTCAACAGTTAATATTGTTCATCAGATTTTTTTTTTAATTTCCTTGGATTTTAGATTCACTTGTTGAGTTACGTATTTGTTGTTCATAATTTTTATCTTTATTTACTTTCTCTTCTGAAAGAACCCCCGTCAGCAATTCATATAATTCTGGTTTGGTGGTGATGAACTCCTTTAACTTTTTTTTTTTTTATTAGTGAAGCTCTTTATCTGACCTTCCATTCCGAGTGATAGCTTTACTGGATAGATTATCTTTGGCTGTAGGTTCTTACTATTTATCACCTTGAATATTTCTTGCCATTCCCTTCTGGCCTGCATGGTTTCTGTTGAGAAATCAGCTGACAATTGTATAGGTGCTCCTTTATAGGTAACTACCTTCTTTGCTCTTGCTGCTTTTAATATTCTGTCTTTTGCTCTTGGAATTTTAATTATGAGCGTCTTGGTGTGGTCCTCTTTGGATTCCTTTTGTTTGGAGTTCTGTGCACTTCCTGGACTTGTAAATCTAATTCTTTCACCAGGTGGGGGTAGTTTTCTGTCACTATTTCTTTCAGTATGTTTTCCATATCTTGCTCTCCCTCATCTTCTGGGACCCCCATAATTCTGATGTTGGTTCGCTTGAAGTTGTCCCAGAGGTTTCTTACATTATCTTCAATTTTCTGGATTCTCTTGCCTTCTAGCTTCTGTGGAGGAGTGTCTTCTGGCTCTTTGTGTTCCAAATCTTTGACTTGATTCTTGCTATATTCCATTCTGTTTTTAGGACTCTGTATAATATTTTTTTTATTTCAGACAATGTATTCTTTATTTCTTGTTGATCCCTTATCATATCTTATTGATCCCTTATCATTTCTTGTTGATTCCTTATTAATTCTAGTTGATCTCTTTTCATAGGTCTTATCGATCTTTTCTAGGAAATTCTTGAAAAACCTTATAAGTGTAGATTTGAACTCTATAAGCAGTCGCTTTTTGTCCTCCATTTCTTTCGTTTGTGATCTATTTCGTTGTCGAATTTCGCAGCTACAGATGGGGCGGGGTTTCAGGGTGGAGCCTACAGCTTTGGCTTCTATCAGCCCTGCCCTATGCGGCTCCTGGGTCTCAGGGTCCTTCAATACTCGTTGCAAGGGCCTCTGAGAGAAAGGTGCTCTCGATTTTCAACTGCTACCAAACAGTCTAGGCTCTCCCCCAATGAGCCCGGAACTGGGGTTCAGGTCAGTTGGTAGTGGGATTGGAGGTGGCGTTCAGGGCAGTCTGGAGCCTGTGTCTCCTTCCCGCCAGGGCAATTCCGGGCCCATCCAACTGTCCCTTCTCTGTGCGCAATGTGTGCGCCTCCGTGACCTCCTTTTGCCGCTCCCCCGGGGTTCCGCCTTATAGCCCAGCTCCCTCTGTTTGAGCCTGGGTCCCCGGGGTCTGGCCTAGAACTGGAGTTCAGAGCAGTCGGAACTGGGGCCCAACACAGTCAGAGCTTTTATCTCCTTCCCGCTAGGGAACGCCAGCCAGGCACTCAGCCTCCCTCCTCTCCAGCTCCGTCCTCTCCGTGCGCTGCGCGTCTCCATACCTTGGGCTTTTACAGCTCCTCCGCGCTTCCTTCTGGCCTTCTCCTTGCTTCTCGTTGTAGAATTTACAGTCAGTCGACTTTCCTGTAGTTCTGGATAATGTCCATTTTATATTTTAGTTGTATCTTATTGAAATTGTGTGCGGCTGCGGCTAGGTGTTTACCTGGGCAGCCATCTTGGATTCTCCAATATAAATATATTTTTTAAAAAAACGTATTATTTATATTTTATAGTGGAGGCAAAAAGTCTAGCGTCGGCCTTGAAAGTGACACTTAACGACTATACATAATTTATTTATTTTATTTGTAAATTGTACTTACGTTTAAATTTTAAAAAATATATTATAATACTATTTTTGCATTCTATGAAAATTTTTGTTGCTCCCTATAGACCAAATCCCCCTACCCCTACCCCCGTCAATGGTGTCCTGCTTTACCAATGTTAAAATCTGGTCACCTTAACATATGGCTATCACTTAATCAACTTAAGGACATAGGAAAGTGTATTAAAATATAAATACCTACACTCAGAGGAGGCTCCAAAGTCCTGGTCTTGCCTTCACATAAAATAAAGGAAAAGGCACCAAAGGTGGGGGACACTGGGTGTGAGGAAAGGCAGTTTTGCCGGAGCAGTTAGGCTTCTGTCCACAGCAGTGCAAAGTAAGATTTTAAAAGGTTAGCTCCAGAATGACGGTCTAGCGCTTACAACAGCATCATCCCTCTTCTCTTACAATGAACATCTCTGCAGCTGAGCCAAACTAACTATGTCCGTTTCACTTGGTTATTAATTCCTTCTTAAGGGATACGTCTCGCACCTCCTGGCATACACATGGCCGGGGACTATTGGGAAGGAATACCAGCGGACATAAGCACTAAGCCCTGCGCCTGGAGAGTAAGACCATCGGCGCTCGGTGACAGAAAAGGCGACGCCGCCCCCGGCGCTCTCTAGGAAACCCTCTTCCGGCGTCCGCATCCCTCCCGGGCGGCCGGGCCCACCTCTCCTGGACCAGCTGCAGCGGCCTGGGCCTCAGGCTTCCTTAGAGCCTTAGCGGTGGGGGATGGGGAGGGCCCCAAACCTATACCCTGAGGATTCCCAGCAGAACAGCCTCTAGACCCCGGGCCTGGGATCCGGCCCGCAGCCCCGCCGCCCGCGCCCTCCCACGCCGGCCCCGCCCCGCCCCCTTGGGCGGCCCCGCTGCGGCGGGCGGGCGGGGTTTCCGCTTCCGGTGGCGGATTGTTGACGCCCTCGGCTGCTGCGGTGGCGACGGGGCGGTTGGGGAGGGGCCAGTAGGCACCGTAGCGGCGCAGCGAGCAGACAGCGGCGGGTGCTGCCGAGACGATGGCCGAGGGGCCGGAGCAGCCGCGAGGCCGCCCCCCGGGGCAGGGCGACGGCGGAGGGGACCTCGAGCCCGTCCCTTCCCTGCGAGGCCCTCCTGCCGCCGCCGCCGCCGCCGCCCCCGCCCCGCGCCCCCGGGACGGGCCGCAAGCCGAGCCCCAGGCCCCGGGCCGGCCTCCCGCCGCGGGCCTCCCGCCCCCTGCGGCGGCCGCCGGGGAGACGGAGCCGCCGCCGCGCGGGCCCGGGAGGCGCGAGGAGGAGGCGGCGGCGCCCGAGCCCGGCGGTGCGGGGCTGCGGGAGCCCGCGGGCTGCGGGGCGCCCGAGGCCGCGGCGCCGCGGGAGAAGCCGGCGCGGCTGAGCGCCCGCGAGTACTCCCGGCAGGTGCACGAGTGGCTGTGGCAGTCCTACTGCGGCTACCTCACCTGGCACAGCTGCCTGGCCGCCCTGCCCGCCTACTGCAGCCCGCCGCTGCCCGCGCCTGGCCAGCCCGCGGGGGGCGCGGCCGCTCCGGCCGGGGCGCCGCCGCCGGGCTACTACAGCCCCTTCTACTTCCTGGGCGCCGCGGGCGCGGGGCCCGGCCCGGGGGCGGCTCCCGGCGGCGGCGCCCCGGCCCCCGGCCCGGGAGCCCGGGCTCCTCACGGCCAGGGGGCCGCCGTGCGGGCCGCCCCCGCAACGAGGGTGGGCTCCGCCGCCCCTTCTCGGACCTCCAGTGAGACCGGGCGCCAGGCAGCAGGTGAGCAGAGCCCAGCGGGCTGCGGGGCGGGCGCCGGGGCGGGCGCCGGGGGCGGGCGGGGTCGGTTTCCCACGCAAAACTGCCCCTCCACTCGCGCGGCTGCCGCTGACCCGGGGCCTGAGGTGTCCACGGGGCACGGAGGGCGGTACTGCCTCTTCTCCTTTGGACCTGGCATTCCGAATGGATTCCCTTACTCCTGAGACCTCAGCCGTGTAAAGGCATTTCTGCTCCTCACTCTGTCCTCTCGGTTTCCACGCTCTGGAGAATGAGATGATCCAAAGCTGAATGCTCAGATGGCAAACCTGCGTGGGGGTGGGGAGGTGGGGAGGGGGTCAGGGAGTTGATAGCAATGCCGGGAATAACAAGACGTGGATTTATTATAGAGTATGTAATACAGAAATAGCAATCCTATATATTACCTTTATATTAGGTACGGTGGAACTGGTGGATATAAAAGGAGATTTATGTAGATGCAAATGGAGTTATGAGCCTAGCTGAGTGGTCTTTATGTTGTCTGTTTACGTCTGTATGGGAATTAGAATATTTTGCATTAGTCAATACTTTTCAGTTTGTCATTTAGTTTGTTTACTTTATTCAGCTACAGATATATAAGTTCTCCTGAATTTGATCCCATTCAGAATTTAGTATGACTGATTTATTCCATAGAAAGCAAGGCTAAACGAATAAGAGGCAACAGGGATTTACTTTGTATTAATTGTCTATACATAACATTGATTTTTACTAAAAATATTTAGTTTTGTGTCATAGGCTGTGATCACCTGGATTCTCATTTGAGTCCCTTAAGTAATTCTCATGGAGTACCCTAAGTTATTAAATTTATGTGTGAAATCACTTTTTAAACAGAGGGGAAAGCAAACAAATTCTTCATAAATAATGAAGTAGTGTTGCTGTATTTCAGTGGAGCTAATGCTAGTTGCAAAAAAAAATTTTTTTTTTTTTTATTAGTAAGTTGTATCTTGACTTTACATTCCCCAGTTGTTTAACCAGGTTGGGGCCCAAGTCCTGTGAAATTATTAGTTTTCCTAACTTTTTTTTTTTTTTTTTTAAACAGGCAGAGAGTATGTTATTCCATCCTTGGCCCACAGATTTATGGCAGAGATGGTGGATTTCTTCATTCTCTTCTTTATAAAAGCAACTATTGTCTTAAGCATTATGCACCTCAGTGGAATAAAGTAAGTTAAGACTGTTTGCAGAAAGGTTTATTAAAACCTACTGTCTAGAGATCTCATTTTGTTAAGTTCTTTTTTGCCTGCATGTGACTGTATGGATAATTGGTTTGCCAGTGTCATGATTTCTTTATAGGAGTTTTGTGAGAATTTTTTCTTGTTTGTTATGAGAAATAACTACAAAAAAGAGAATTGCATTTAATAAATTCTGCCAGATCTGTGGGAATCTCACTATCAAAAGTAGGTGAAAGGAGCCCCAAGCCTGGCTTGATTTTATTCAGCTATTTCCTTAGGTAGAACTTATTTTCCTCTTACTATGCATAAAGAGGTTTTGGTAGATGAACTATTAATAATCAGCTAGATGGCATTTCCAAATGGGATTGCTTATATTATCAGAAAAGTCCCCAAGTGAACTGCAAAGTAAGCCATTTGTTTGAATAATCCTCCCTTCACATTAAAACTCATAGTAATTATTACTCACTAAGTACTCTCTACGTAGTAGGAACTGAATTCACCTCTTTTCTTCAGAGCCTTGGACTGTAAACGCCTTATTTCCTCTATGAATGTTCCCTCTAAACAAGTGATACTCTCCTTTATTGGGCTTGCTGGTACTTTTGCTTCTGGGTTCTCAACTTTAGCCTTCTCGCAAAGCCCCTCTCTGACTAAACGAAGGGCCTAGTCACTGAGCCTTTAGATCCCAAGGCCAGCATTCTCACCCCTTTAATGCTCTAAAAGCTGTTCTGACCTCAGTGTCTTCTCACCTCCCCCTTCCCAAAGAACAGCTTTCTTTTGAGCTCACCTCTTCATATGGATTCTTTCTTAATCTTACCTCCAGTATGAACCACAGGGGTTAATACCTCCATTTTATAGAGATTGAAATTTGGATTTACAAGAAGTTAAGCCCAGAATTTACTAAGTTACAAAGGTAATAATAAGTGACAGAATCAATAAACAAGTCCTTATAGTCAAATTTCAGGGCTCTTTCCAGGAACCTAAATGTTACTGTGGTTCCTTTCTGTCTCTTCCTCTCCTACGCTCTACATATCCCAAGTATCAACTCCTTTCTTTTGAATCTCTTGAATAGCCTTCAACCCAAACCATTTTTTATCATCAATACTTTTCCCCAGTCCAGTTACTGTCATGCCTTGCCTGGATTATGGCTAAAGTTTCCTAACAGGTATCTCAGACTTGTCTCCTATTTTATCTCAATCCAGTCTGATATAAAACCAGAGAGATCCTAAATTGATTCTGCTCCTTTTCTGCCTTAAAATCCTTCCTTCAGTGGTTCCTCATTGCCATCAGGTAAAGTTTTTTTGTTTTTTTTTCATATGGTTTAACTTTAATTTAAGATGCCCTTATTTCTTAATCATTGTTATCACTCACACTTAAGATTTGAGTCATATCAAACTGCTTATAGCTTCCATCATTTTCTTCAAGTTTTTCTCCCTTGTTAGTCTCTCTCTCTGAAACTTATCCCCTATTAGTCTGGCTAACTTCTCTTCATCCTTCAGATCTCAGCTTAAAGGTCACTTCTGGTAAGCTTCACAAGTTAAATGTGCGTGGTATGTGTTCCTATAGTACACTGTAGTTTCCTATCACGACTCTTCATCTCACTTTATTATCCCTTATGTCCTGCCCTCCCTGCTTGGTTAGAATCCCATGAAAGCAGAGGCCATGTTGAATTCACTCACCAGGGTAGTACAGTGCCTGCTCATGATAGTGCTGCCTATTTGTTGAATAAGCTAATGTTTTGTGAAACACCTAAATATTAGCTTAGAATTTGAAATAAAGTTGTGACTAACACTAATGGGAAAAAAATCAAAGCAACTGCTCTGATAATTCTTTATAACCCAACACTATTATTTTGTGTAGGGATATCTCTAAGTTTGCTATGCATTATATAATAGAAGAAATAGATGAAGACACATCAATGGAAGACTTGCAGAAAATGATGATTGTGGCTCTTATATACAGATTACTGGTTTGTTTCTACGAGGTAAGCTACTGACTTCAGCAAATATTAATATTTAACTGTCTAATTTTAGTTTATCAACCCGACAGAAAATCAGTGGAAATTTAGTTAATCATGTATTTGTCAAATGTTTATTTTTTCAAATTTTCTTTCATATAAAACTTCTCAAGTTAAAAAAAACAAAACAAAAAAAAAACAAACAAAAAAAAAAAACACCCTTCTGGCCTGGCCACCAGTGTGGCTCAGTTGGTTGGAGCATCATTCCATGCACTGAAATGTTGCCAGTTTGATTCCTGGTTAGGACACATACCTAGGTTGTGGGTTCAAGTCCCTAGTTGGGTACGTACCGGAGGCAACCATCTCTCTCTCTCTTTTTCTCCTTCATCTCTCTTCCCTCCCTCTCCAAAATCAGTAAAACATATCCTTGAGTGAGGATTAAAAAATAATTTAATTTAAAATATATATATATATTTTATTGATTTTTTTACAGAGAGGAAGGGAGAGGGATAGAAAGCCAGAAACATCGATGAGATAGAAACACCCATCAGCTGCCTCCTGCACACTCCCACCGGGCATGTGCCCGCAGCCAAGGCACATGCCCTTAATTGGAATCGAACCTGGGACCCTTCAATTCGAAGGCCGATGCTCTATCCACTGAACCAAACTGGTTTCGGCAATAATTTAATTTTTAAAACTTTTTGAGTGGAGACATTGTATAATTTTGTTGTAATATATTTTAGTCTCATGGTCCAAAGATGTATTTATAAATTGGTTGTGGAAATTGAGATGTATTTTTCTATAGAAACAACTGGATCTTAGAGAATTATTACAGTAGACAATTGGTAATATTGAAAATGATCTCTAATAATCATCAGTAATACGCATTAAAAGGTTAACCTTTGACTATTTTGTGAAATTCCTCCAACTTGAAATGTTTAAAACATGAATAATATGGCAGGAAAACAACTTTAAAATTGGTGTGGTTGAGCTCTAGCCAGGTAGCTCAGTTGGTTAGGGGGTCTTCTCAGTTGCCAAGGGTGTGAGTTCAGTCCCAGACAGGGCATATACAAGAAACAGCCAATGAATGCATGACTAAGTGGTACAACAAATCAGTATTTCTCCCCCTCCCCTCTTCTTGCTCTAAAATCAGTTTGAAAAAAATTAAAATTGGTATGGTTGAGCTAGTAAATTATTTTTAAATTATCCTTCTTTCCTTAGATAATTTGCATTTGGGGAGCAGGCGGAGCTACCCCAGGGAAGTTCCTGCTGGGGCTTCGAGTTGTGACATGTGACACGTCAGTGCTTATTGCACCAAGTCGGGTTTTAGTGATTCCTTCCTCAAATGTTAGCATTACAACGTAAGTTCTTATCTTAATCTATATACTTATAAAATTATAGATTTTTAAGTAATCAATACAGTTCATAAGTTGTACCATGTAATATAGTATTTTTAAGATGTTGATTTTTTTTTTTCTTCATGGCATCCTATCTAATAAGAGTAATATGCAAATTGACCATCATTCCAACACAAGATGGCTACCCCCAGGTGGACACAAGATGGCTGCCCCCACGTGGACATGAGATGGCCACCACAAGATGGCCAGCAGGGGAGGGAAGTAGGGAGAGACCAGATCTGCAACAGAGAGCAGTTGGGGGCAATCAAGCCTGCAGGGGAGGGCATTTAGGGGTGACTAGGCCAGTAGAGGGAAATTAGGGGTGACTGGGCCTGCAGGGAAGGACATTTGGGGGGAACCCAAGCCTGTAGGAGAGGGCAGTTGGGGGTGACCAGGCCTTCAGGGGAGGGCAGTTAGGGGCAATCAGGCTGGCAGGGAGTGGTTAGGGCTGGCAGGCAGAAGCAGTTAGCTGCAATCAGGAAGGCAGGCAGGCAGGTGAGCAGTTGGGAACCAGCAGTCCTAGATTGTGAGAGGGATGTTCAACTGCCGGTTTAGGCCTGATCCCAATAGGATGATGCCTCCAATAGGATTGGGCTTAAATGGGCAGTTGGACATCCCTCAAGGGGTCCCAGATTAGAGAGGATGTGCAAGCTGGGCTTAGGTACCTCCTCTCCCCTCCACCGGTCCTCTAGTACTTTAATAAATGGGCTTATGTTTATTAAGTTTAAAACAGATTTTTGAGTATTTTTCAGTTATATGATTGTAGACCCTTCAGTATATATTTTCAAGAGAATCATTTAATGAAATTGAAGTTATAATAATGAAAGGATGATTTGGGTGTTGATGCTATCTACACAGTGCTCCGTGCCTAGTTAATAATAAATGTGTCAATGACTGATTTGGTAATACCTGTCATCATCCCATTAGAATAGGCAGTAAGAGTTTTGGAAACTGTACATGCATTCTGCTTGTAATACTCCCAAGAGGCTGTTAGCATCTGCCTCTGGGAAAGGTACAAATAGTGATAATGGAAGTTGTGGAGGTGAGTAGGTGGTAATCATTTGAGCAAAACAAGATACTGGCTGGAACTGCTGCCAGAATGATTAGAGCTGGATTGTTAATAAAAAGAAATATGAACAAGACTAGAACTTTTGCTAATGTACTCAAAATTTCCTTACAATTTTGTGTTTATAATAATCCTATTAATGAGTATCAATAATGGCTAATGTTTATTGAGCATAAACTTAAAAATAGTGTATATGTTTTAACTATTTAAATTCTAACAATCTTACAAGATAGGTACTGTATGTACCCTTACCCCTTTAACAGATGTGGAATACAACTTGTGATTGCTAGAAAGTGGATCTGATTGCTAGTCTGGATCTGGAGCCCAGTCTTAGCCACTGTACTTTTCTGTAGCCTTTGAGGCAGAAATCTAACATTAGTAGGATAAGTCTCCATTCTAAACTATTGTTGAAAACCTTTTAAAGCTTTTTTAAATCACAGGATCCCACAAAGAAAAGAGTTGATAAAAGAATACACAGTAATTTAAAATGTTAGTGCTTCATAAAAGGTAGAAAATGAGACTGCAATAAGCACACTCAGTTTAGAGATACAGAAACACAGGAATGAGTGACTATAGAAAAGGCAAGGAAAGGAAATAGTTTTCTTCTGGCAAAATACTAGAAAATACTGTAAACTTTAGTTCACATTGTAAGACATTACTGGTTTTCATGTGAACATTCTAGTTTAAGTTGAAGTCTTTAGAACTAGCTGAGACGGTTTGATAGGATACTTGAAAATAACTCAGATATCAAAGGTAAAATTTCAACTATGAATGTTTTAAATACATATCGATACTTTGAACTTGATAGGAAGATATCTATATGTATACAATTTATCTGCTATTTTTTGCTTTTTAATTTTAGGTCCACTATACGAGCATTGATCAAGAATTTTTCTATTGCTTCTTTTTTCCCTGCTTTCATCACACTGCTGTTTTTTCAGCATAATCGAACAGCCTATGACATTGTAGCAGGAACCATTGTGGTAAAAAGAAATGGGGTCAGATGATGCCCCCCAAAGCCCTGACTTCCATACTTTCTGGAATGATGACAAGACTAAATTATGTATCAAGGCCATCGGTATCCCTGGGTTACATTAACTGATGATTTAGAAATTAAAGCAGTCACTCCAGTGAGATACAGGTGACTATTCTGAAAGTATTGATTTTACTTGAATGCCAAAGAACTTTTCCAGAAGAAAAACCTGTTTGAATTCAAGAGTTTAAATTTTAGATAAAAAAGAAGGCAAGTGGTTTCATAATCAACAATGGACAAAATATACTAAGTTCTAAGGCATTAGAATTTGCTGAAAGCATTTTCAGCTTTGAAATCCTGAAATGAAACTTTAAAAATTTATTTTGGTTTATCCCAAAATGATGGAAAATGTACAGTTGTGTTTTATAAACACATTATTCATCTTTAAGTTAACACTTCTTGGGGATATTGTTCTTTGCTTTTTTGGGGAAGAGTGGGGACACAAATTGATAATCCACTTATCTCCCATCCCAGGAGGTGGTGAGTTAGCTGCAAGAGAAAGGGGCAAGTGAGGCAGGCCCAGCAGTTCCCTTACCTAAAGTCTTAAAATCTGCACTGCAGTATACTGTGGGAATGATGTAACTTTACAACTATTGTTAATACTTCAACATGTATTTGGGGCAAAGTTTTGCATGATGATGAAAAAGTATTGTCATATTGCTATATTAACGTCGATTTTATTTTTTTTTGAGAAGATAGTGATTGCTTTTAATGGGGAAGGGGGATAAATTTTCATTGTAAATTTAACTTAAAATTCATGTGCAAGTATTTTCAGTGCCCCAAATCAAACTATAAATATGGGGGAAAGGGAATTACTTCCATCAAATTGTTGCATATTTACTGTAAAACAATATTCCCAGTATATGTGCAGCATGAAGAAAGTATTAGTGCTTTTCAGTGTTCTGAATATAACTTCTCTCTACACACAGGATATCTACACAATGGTTTCATTTTATATTTTATATAGTTCCATAACTTTTGAAACATCAAGTTAAATAATCTGAGTATTTCCTGATTAAATATGGTAACCTGTGAAATATTAGCTATTTTCCCATTATGGACTGTTCTAAAACAAGGAAGAGTAATATTTCCAGATATAATTCTAAGTTCTTTGGTTGTGTGAGCCAAAAGCTTGTTTTTTGGGCCTGCCATGGATGATGTTTTGAAGGAAATGTTAAGCTAAGTAACTGTGTATTGCTATTTTATTTTCCTATTGAAGCAAAGTTGTTTCAAATGTGGGGATGATCCAGTTAAGCTGCGTTGAGATATACCTGAACTAAAAGTTTTGTTTCTTAGACTTTTCAACTCTGATAGTTTTTAAAAAACAAAACACTAAACTGTTGGTTCATTATTAGATTGCTTAAAGGGTCATTCTCGGCTTTATTTTTGGTGTTAAGTTTATTAGCAAATGGAAGACACGTCTATCACTGTATCAATTTTTAAAGTGGATTTTTCTTTGATATTTAAAACAAAATATTTACAGTTAATGGTTATAGAAACCTTAATAGTATTCTTATACCCTTTATAAAACTGCATAACCATGTTTTTTCAAAATAAGTTATAGCCTGTCAGTTAAGTGTGTCATAGTATTAAACAGATCATTCACTTGTAACCTCTGGGAAGTTATGGCCCTTCACAACAAAAAGTAATAAAACTAAAATTTTATGAGACTAGAAATTAGGAAATGTTACATAAACTTACCACTTAGTATGAAATTCAAGTTGAAATGCCCTTCAGTCATGTAATTCTGGAATTTACCTTCAATGTATCATTTCCTCAGGTGGATGGTTTACCACTTAGCCTCTTTTTATTTATATAGTACAACAGAGCAAACAAGTAGTCTAGTTTAATTTGTTACACTTAAAACATTGTACATATGTGTAGATTCATTTAGATCCATCTCAGGATTCAAGTTATACTATATAACTATATAGTATTATTTTGTCTTTTACAACAACAAAAATACAACTATGAATTCAGCTCTTAGGAAAAGATTTTGATTCCCAAATAATTGAAAAAAGTGACAAAACAACAGGGAGGATGGAAGAGCCATTTTTTCTTTGGAATTGTGAAGAGTGGAGAATCCCTCTTTTCTGTACTTTATTTAGTATACATCTTATAGAAATGCTGATTTTCTGTGTCAAAGTGTAATTCTCATGCTGAAGTGCTGGCCTAAAAGGCAGAAAGTTATCTTCATAGTACAAACATTATTCATTCATCACTTTTTTAACATAAGCAAATGACACAAAAATTAGGAGTCAATGAGAACACACTTTCTATGAATGTCCTCTAAAAACCATAGAACACCTTTACTTTAGGCCTCTAAGAAATCACAGTACTCATTACCAAAGGTAACTTGTCTAGTTCATCTTGGGGAAGTCTGACACTAATATTCCCCCTGGGCCTAGAGTAGGTATGTGTGAGTGATGGCAAGACTTGCTTTTAGACTAATCTGTGACCACAGAAATAAAGCTAACAATTTAAAATATTGCCCACCTGATGATGATACTTGAGTGGGACTGGTTCATTTACCTTCCGGTTTTACTCAAATATTTAGGATTGCAGGAAAATGTATTATATTAGAGGGCCACTTTGTCTGAATTATAAAAGTGCATCTTCAGTGTTTTTTGTTTCAAATGATAGCAAAAGGTTTTAACTCTAAAAGATGTTCCCTTTTGTTTCACTAACGCATAAGTATTTCCAGCAAAAAGAAGGTGGGAATTGGAAATTATTTGGTTACTTGGGAATAAAGGGCTTTTTGAGAGGAACAGGGGCATTAAATATTTTCATTCTGCATCTATCCCAGGCTCTTATTTTGAAGAATATTTCTAAACAGCAGTATTCCTAAAATCTGACAACTATCATTTCAATTACTTGCCATTCTCCACCTCCCGTACCAAAGTTTGAAATTTTTTCATGTACTAGTACTTGACTGGTGAAGTTTGTCATTTCAAACTGTATATGTCCTTACAGCCATTATAGTAGGGCTTGACCCACAAATAATATCTGATGGCCTGACCTATAAATAAACACAGCATTCTATTTTTAATAATTTGCCACCAATTTGTATTGTCTCAATAAATCCTTAGTCACCAATGATTTTGTATTTTGCCTGTTTCTTTGAGGTTTTAGAATCTGCAAAAGGAGAACATCCTTCCAAATACAGCTTTCTGCCTTCAGGGTGACCACAGTTAACTAGAATGCTTTCAGAAATAGAGGACTTCCAAAATCATCATCCACTTTTGGAATATATTATCTTAGAAATTCATTCAAAAGTTGCCCATAAATGATTAGGCTTAATGTTAAACTTTCCTGTCTTTAAGTGGTTAATCATTTCAACTATCAAACAACGTAGTAAGGACCCATACACATGAGAAACCAGAAATTCAAGTCACATGAGTCAGCTGGGCAATTTAAACCTAGTTCTGATCTCACAAGCATTTCTTGTTCTAAACTTTACAAATCTAGAGGACAGAACACAAAACAAGTTCTTCAAGGGCAAAGATAATGAAGGATAAACTCAAATGTAGCTTTATGGCTGAGTCCTGTAGACAAGGTGTTGTTCTGAGCCCAGCCCATCATGGAACTAGAGTGGACTTCTGAGGTAAGTTTTAAAAGTTTCCTGGCCCTAACCAATTTGTCTCAGTGTATCAGGGTCCCAGGTTCGATTCCGGTCAAGGGCATGTACCTTGGTTGAGGGCATATCCCCAGTAGGGGGTATGCAGGAGACAGCTGATTGATGTTTCTCATGTTTCTAACTCACTTCCTCTTTAAATATATATATATAATTTTAAAAATAAAATATATATAAAATATATATATAATATATATATTTTATTATCCTATGTAATAAAAGCCCAATATGTAAATCAACCAAATGGCGGAATGACCAGTAGCTTTAACATGCACTGACTACCGGGGGCAGATGCTCAATGCAGGAGCTGCCCTTAGGTCAGCCAAGGTGGGTGACAGCAGGGGACCCCTGATCGCCCTACCAGTCACCCCACTGAGGGAGGCAAGTGGTGGCAGCAGGTGGCTGGGTCAGCAAGCAGGTGGTGCCAGGCTGGCCAAGGTGAGTGCCAGCTGGGGGGGGCGGTGTGTGGTGGGACCCAATAGTCCCACAGATCAGCCCTGTTTGCTGGCCAGGCCTAGCGACCCTAAGGAAATAAAGGCACTCACATGGTCATACTGCAGCTGCGTGTAGCTGGACCCAACACACCCATGTCTTCATTTTTACTATACCAAATTTGTCAATTTCCATTAAACACACAGGCTAGCCTTTGTAAAATTTCAAACTTGATATATCAACAGGCCCAAGAAATGACATGGAGTCATGTCCTGCCTAATGATGTTTTGGTCAACAATGAACCAAATGTACAACAGTGGTCCCCATAGATAATGGAGCTGAAAAATTCTCATTACCTAGTAAGGAAATAGCCATTATGATGCATTACAACTACCTATAGTATTCAATAGAGTATCAGGTTTGTAACCTTGGAGCTATACCATCTTGATTTGTACAAATTCACTACATGATGTTTGCTCAGTGATGAAATTGCCTAATGACAGATTGTTCAATGATCTGGGGTCAAGTAACGCATGACTACTAATTACAGCAAACACAAATTCTTTCCAGGCTAAACCAGAAAATTTAAGGCTTGATTATAAATTGTTAAAATTAGTCCACCATTTTTATGTCAAATATCAACAAAATATCAGGGGAGAATTTCTAGCAAGTAAGAAGCAGCAGCTAGTTGGCACGTCTTCTCATACACCAAAAGGTGGCAAGTTCAATTCCTGGCGAGGAAACATGCCTAGGTTGCGGGTTTAATCCCTGGTCAGAGTGCGTATGACAGGCAACTAATCGATGTTTCTCACATCTGTTTTTATTTCCTCGGATGAGGATAAAGAAAGAATAAGCAGCTAGCTTAAAGACAAATTTTCCCATTGTCAATTTTCTTAATGCCTAAAATC